CCCTAATCTCAACAGGAAGTTTCTGGAGAATATCACTCAGAATATTCTTAAGAATAACCTGAATACTCCAACTAGGTACACGAGTCTAAACTGTTTTCCTACCCTCAACAGGAAGTTTCTGGAGAATATCATTTAAAATATTCTTAAGAATAACCTGACTACCCCCAAACGGGTATATGCAGTATCAACTTGATGACAAGAGCTAATTTCACAAGTACAAGTTCCAGCTTTAATTCAAGATCTCGACAACGGTCAAGCGATAAACGCGATGCCGGAAGAATCTTAGCTATTCTACAAAGTACTGAATAGATTGAGAGACAAAGAGGTCAAGAGTTGAAGCCATCTACGGGGCTCCTCTACACGATCTACTCAACCAAGCATGGAAGGGATCGTAAGCAAGACTTATCTTATCCAAAGTATCCCAGAACTCCTCTATAAAAGAATGAGTCTGGAATACTTTGGAGGGGGTATCTGTAGGCGTCAAAAAATGCTGAAAGATATCCAAATACAGCTCAAGAGGAAATCATCCAAAAAGGCAAAAGAACACAAGTATAGACTGTCTCACAGGCGAGACAGTCTTTACTGTCTCACCTGGCGAGACAGTCTTTACTGTCTCGCCCGGCGAGACAGACTTTTACTGTCTCGCCCAGGCGAGACAGTTTTCACTGTCTCGCCCCCGCGAGACAGTATTTTCGCGGGTCGAGACAGCAAACACTGTCTCGCCCAGCGAGACAGCAAACACTGTCTCGCCCAGCGAGACAGCAAATGCTGTCTCGCGAGCACTGTTCATCCAGAGGGTTATAAATACCCCCCAAAGGCCATTTTCACAAGGGGCTTCGAGCAGACATCCAGAGGCTGATCATAGGGAGCATTTCAGAGCAATCCAGAGAGCAGAGGTGCTGATCTTACAGCCAATCCTTGATAATCAGGCTTTGACTTGATTTCAAGAAGAACGACTATCTTACATCGATAAGATATCGTTTCAATTTCTCACTTCGATAAACGAAGTCAGAATCATAAACCCCTCACGGTTCAATCAGAATCTGTGATTTGGTGGTCCACGAGTCAAAGCGCTCCCGGCACAGGCAAAGATCCCACAAAAGCAGTGATCCAAACAACGATCCTGCGTTTATTTTCTCAAGAGTTGTAATTTTCTTTTTTGTTGTGTAAAAGAGTCTTATAAAAAGGCTGTTTTCTTTGAATTTATTGTAATCGACCGAAGATATAATGAATTCGACAACGAAACCAACTTTTGGCGAAAACACTCATTACAACTTCAATCGTTTGCAACAAGTTCAAAAGATTTAGTCTTTTTATAAGACTTTTCTTACACGAATAAAAAAATAAAAATATAACTCTCTAGAAACACATGCAGAGGACATTTATCACCCATCGCTTGCGTGGGATCTTTGCCTGTGTCGGGAACGCGTTAGTCCGTGGACCACTGCGGATCAGATCCGGTTGACAGAATAAAAATTCAATGTTCTTACTTTACAAAGTAAGTATTCGCAGAAATAAATAATCTCAACCAAGCGAGATTACTACTCTTCTCGAGATTAAAACCAAGTTTGATCTGGAGGAAAAAGGGAATGTGCCTCAGATCTCTCGAACTCTCCTTCTTTATGCTGAAGAACTTCGCCAAGATCTCGCTAGTTTCTCTCAAATTCGTCAGAACATCACCCTAGCTACTCTAAAATTCATAAATCCTTTATATCTTCCTTTATTAGGGTGCTAGGGGTGTATTTATAGATTCTAAATGTCGTGTTTGTGGATAGGATCGAAGAACAACCGTTATTATTTATTTAGTTGGGTTTTCGGTTGTGTAACAGCTTTCACACGTTTAAGGATAACCTCACATATTTATAGATAACCACCAGGAGTTCTAAAAGCCAATCTTATTAGAAAATACGTCGGGAGCTGACCTGAGCGCAAGTCACTTCGAAGTGACTCGAAATTTCCGAGACAGTTTGTACTATCTTTGGTATTTTGGCTTTAATTCTCTCATCCAACCTTAGAATGAAGTGATTCAAGATACGTTGGAAAGATGACGAAGAGTTCTAAAACTTTTGTCTTTTGAGATTTTTCGGATTCAAATTTTTTCATGGTCAAAATTTCACTTCTTCGTGAGGGTCACTCTAGAGTCCTCCTGATTGTATTTGCTTCATCGTTTCACACGTTTCGACGTTTCATGTACATTCCTTCACTTTTGTTTACAGCATCGGATGATCCTATTTGACTTGGATAATCCTCTCTGACTCGGATAATAGCATTCATCGCCTTCTTTCCATTTCGAACTACGTGCGGGAAGCTATAGGGAATTTTTGACGCCTACACCCATAAAGAACGACTTATCATTTATCTCAAAGAGATTGTTAACAACTGATCATAATATAGAGCTAAATAATTAGCTGAATATGTATAAATATCTTAGTTCGTAAACTAAATGATTACCTGAAGATCTATAAAGATCTAGTGATAAGCTAAATGATTACCTAAAGATATATGAAGATCTAGTTGATAAGCTAAATGATTAACTTAACTTTTTTTACCGATGGATGAACATTACTGTCAAATAAATAGTGCCTGATGAACAGTATCTGCGCGGATGAATAGTTTCAGGTAGGGTTTGGTTGTGGAGGGTGACAGCTAATGTTTAAAAAATTGGAGAGAGAAAAGTGGGTGGCTCTGATACCATGTTATTAGGAAAACCCTAGTGAATGTAGAATTAAAGAAAAAATTGGAGAAGAACAGGTTTTGGAAGCAGGGGAACAATTTTGGTCATGTTCGGTCGATCGCGGTGCTAGGCTGGTCGACCGAATACATGCACAGACCCTGGGTATGATTCAGGGCTTGGTACGATCGACCGTCGCGGTCAACCGCCAAACCCAGTAACCAAACCCGATAGTCTGGAGTTGGGTGTAGTCGACTGTCGTGGTCGACTGTCGAATCCTTGTTTGTGGAAAAATTCGATGTAAAAGAAATGAAAGAAAAATTAATTTGTATTCTCTCAAAATCGATTATAATTTGGATTCCGATTACAAAAGAGAGGAGAATGAATTTGATTCTCCCCTTTGTTTAAAACTGAGTTCTTCACGGTGGCGATGTAGTGCCTCCCTCGAATGCTCACGTCGAGTTTGCTCTCCGTTGACGATTCGACGTTTTGATTCACTGGAACGATATCTTCTCCTCACGATTCGACGCTGTGAAGAACCTGCGTGGCAAGTTTTAGAACTCTGGACGAGTTGATAACTCTGAACGAGTTTGAACTCTTGAAAAAGAGTTGATTTAACCGAATGTCGGTTATAAGCCAAGGATGAAGAAGCTCCTCGTTGCCGAACGTTGAAGATGATCTTCGTTGGAGGATGATGCTGATCTCCTCAAAAGCTCACCCAAGGATCTCTCCTGTGCTGCCACGCCGAAGGGTCAATTCGAGCCAAGAAATTCCAACCCTTCGCTGCCAAGTCCCAGATCCAAAAATGCCAGCCGAAAAAGCCTTAAACCCCGGACCAAAGAAGCCAACCTTGAACTCAGTTGAGTTTACTTGCTTTTATAGGGGATTAAGGGGGTGTAACCGCCCCCTTAAATCACTCCTAAGTGGGGTGTAACCGCCCACAAATCATGGGAACCGGTTTTGAAACCGTTCAGCTCATACTTTGAACGAGTCAAACGCCCACGTTGGCGTTCAGGACCCTAACTCCGCGTTTTAGAATGGAGACGCGGCAGGACCCTAACTCCGCGTTTTAGAATGGAGACGCGGAGTTAGGTACTCGCTGGGTGTTGAAAAACGCGGGTTCGGCCCCAGCATTTTAATGTTGTAACGCGGGTCCGACTCCAGCGTTTTGATGTTGTAACACGGGTCCGACTCCAGCGTTTTGATGTTGTAACGTGGGTTCGACCCCCGCGTTTTACTGTTGACACACGGGGAGGACCTCCGCGTTTTAGTGTTGATACACGGGGAGGACCTCCGCGTTTTGGTCTTAGAGCGCGGTGATGAGTTCCGCGTCTTGCTTTGGAGAGATTATCAATAAGTAATCTCTTTTGTCATAGCGTTGCAAAGATCATTGTCTTGTCATCTTCGTTTTGGCTCCTTGAGAATATGAGAGTCGTCAGATTGTAACTCCCGATGTTGATTGTGAATGGTGTTGAACTAGAGCTCTCATCGGTTGTCGTGAAGGTCGTCAGATTATAACCTTCAGCGATCTACGTGAAAGTCTTTAAATTGTAGCCTTCTGGAAGTCGTCAGATTGTAACTTCCATCATCGGTGTTTGATGGGGGATAAGCTATCTATTGTGATTTTTAGACAGCCTACAATCCTGCAGTTGATTTTCTGGGTTCTGTGTTTGTCGTGGTTGACCACCGCAGTCGACCGCGTATCGCGTCAGACCCAGTTCTTTGTTTCCTGTTCTGATTTGTTTTTTGAGTTTGGTATAAATACCAAACACGATTTAGGGTTTTGTGAGAGCGGAATTGGGGATATTTGGAGCACAGAAAAGTGTCTTTTTTGAAGCTATTGGTTATGGTTTTGTTTGAGAGATTGAGAGCTTTGTGTGAGAGATTAGTTTGTGGATTTGTAATCTCTATTTGTACTCTTCTTCTCTATTAGTGAAAACTCATCCCCTTCTTGCCCCGTGGACGTAGGCAACTTGCCGAACCACGTAAAATTCGTTGTTTGTATTTGTGCCGTTATTTTGGATTGTTTGGTCTTCTGTTGCGACGTTTATTTTGGTTCCTCAGAGCATAACAATGAATTTATTAGCTCTCTCTAAATTTTTATTTATAGTATTTAAGAAAACAAAGAAGTTTGCCTCTAACCAATGTGAGACTAAACAATAGTAAACAACTACTCTCTTAAACAAATGTTAAAAGCCTACATAATCATATTCCCATTCACTAACTCTCTACAAGGGAGGGGAAAAACTGAACAGAAGAATCCAACAGAATCTTTTTTAGCCTTAACATCAATCAACAGGATCAGGTACATAATCTCTGCTCAAAAATATTGGAAGAATTTAACCTCTATTGGTCCTTTACTACCATCTTTTCATATAGATAACAAATTCATCAGATAGAACAAAAAGAACATACAACCTTATAAATTACATGCATCCCTTGATAAATGTCTGTATCCCACAAGGAGGAAAATATATGTGGAACTTAACATATAATCCTTTCTTTTTCTCTATGTTCTTCTTACCATATGAACTGTCTAAGAACACAATAAACGGCAATAAAAATACCGAAAATGCCAATATGCCCATAGCCACACTAGAACGAAGGGAAAAACTTGTTAAGGTTGTAAGGGAGTGCATAGAATTCTTCGCTTCTTGCATCGGTTTTATATGATCTGAACTTTTCCCACCAATGCCAGCCTCTATCTCTTCTAACTGCACTGTCACCTCGTAGAAGTGTGCAATCTAAGAAATAAGCAACAAAAGCTGCCACAGTCGCTGGCGAAGAAAATATCACATTGACGATATCATTGAACTGTGACCAAAAAAAGGAGGAGAAATGTTAGAGCTGAAATGTAAAAATATAATAATCTTGAAAAAAATACGGGTAAGGAGACAAACATACGGATTGTGCATGAGTGTGAACAGGGCCATAACCAGCAACTACTTCGTATTCTCTGAAGTATTGGGGAACTGATAAGCCCATGAACAAGGAAAATCCTAGAATAAATTTTGTCCTCATACTGTTGAGATTGCAGAATTGAAGAAAGCCAAGCCCTGCAGAAGCTGCTTACAAAAAAATAGCATGTCAGTTTTGGTTTTAATGAGAAAAGATTTTCCTATCAATTAAAGGATTATCTGCAATTAAATACCCCATTGTAAATAACCATAAAGTAAATAAAGGTTCTGAAATATAAATGATGAAAAGAAACCCAGCATAAATTTTTTTCCATTTTTCCTATATATATAACATTGGCGATTTCAGGAAGAACTTTTGTGAAGTAAATTAGATAGATCGTAGAAAATGAGGCATGGAATCTATCCATGCCTTAAAAGTACACTGTTTTCACTGAGTCGATATATGTTGGTTTAACAAAAACAATTACCCCCATCCTATGTAAATTTGACAATACTTAATTCTATTATAGAGCACTTTGAATTTATGACTATCTTTAACAAATCTATACAACATTTTGGCATCACAAAGATGGCCTAATCAGTGTTGCTAATTTTATAACAGAATGCGAACATAAGTAAAATACGACCTATAAATTTCAGCTACGAAGTTGCACTCAGAAGGAAAGAAAGTATACATGTATACAGCTGAGTGTGTTTTTCATTGAAGTATTTTAAATTAATATTGGGAACAAATAGAATTTATGTATTTAAGAAGCAATCCAACCACATAAAGGATTGAAATTTTGGAGCAATTTCATGTTCAGGGTATGCACTCATGCCTGTCAAAATAAAAATCAAGCCTCTTGTCTGATTTTTCACAAAAGAAAAGTAAGCATAAAAGAGCAAACAAACAATGATTCTGTTAGAATATTCTGTTCTAGAACTATGTTACCTGTATAAGCAAAAAGAACACAGTATAGAGCAGCAAAAATAGGCAGCGGAATTGAAGCAAAAAGCGCTCCAAATTTTCCTGGTTATTATAAGAATGTATTAAAAAAAGTCAAAAAATAAAGCATGTTGAACCTTCAATGATGTCAATAACAAACATGAAAGGAAAATACTCATGAAAATAATCTCATTTCATATTTCTCTTTGGAAAATGGTACCTAGTACTGAGAAGAAAATCATGAAACCAGCTGAGATTTGAATTACTCTTCTGCTTCCTACTCGTGTCAATCCCAATAGACCAACATTTTCACTGTTAAAAGATACAAAAATGTCACAATTTCTCACATTTTATTTGACTTTTATCGATTATTTATATTTCTAAATAGTGGAATTTAGTTTATTACACTGATGCCGAAGATCCATTTACAGTACCAAATAATCCATCCAACAAAATGCCTATTCCCTGCGGGTTATAAGTTTGCATGAGAAACAAAGATATGCCAGTAACTTTATTTACTTATTTAAAAAGGACAAAGACTTTGTTAATGGTGGAAAGCAAGAAGAAAGAATGCGTAATCACCTGCCATCCAACACCTCGACCGAAAATGGAAGGTGGCAAAGGCGTCGCACTTGCAAACCTTGCTGCAGCGATAAAAGTACCCGTTGACTGCAAGCGGAATAATTCCAAATTAGAATATCCAAGTATCAAATGTCATGCTTTGAACTGGCATAGGCATTAATTATCTACTTAGCACATGTATAATAGCAAGTAAAGTTGAGGAATCAAAAACATTTATTGAAGAAAGTTTGCATAGGAATAGTGTGCATGTTATACAAACCATGCTGATCGTGAAACTTAATTTAGGCACAGATTCATTGTATTTATTTGAAACGAAGAGTAATACAATGTCTCAAAATAGTTTTTCAGGAAATCTTACTATGTTGTGAATCTACACAATGATTGGAATGTCCAATGTGATTGCTGCCCCAATAGAAAAATACAAGTCAGTTATTTACTAAGGCTTTATTGAGGTTTATCATTCTGTGAACCAGGACGTACTTCGATATGGTTTCCAGAAGTAGACCATATTGCTTATGCTGTTTTCTTTGACTCATTCCTACATACCTCTGAGCTTTATGAAACTTCATCCTTTTACCTCCCGTGTATTTCAAGGAAATTGTTAGGATTAGAAAAGATCACCGTTTTAGTTAACAACTGTAATAGAATGACACCACTCATTATTCCTATGGGCGGTTTGTTAGACATATCAGCTCTCTTTATGGTTTTTGATTATTTTTTCTCCTTCATAAAATCACTTTCCTGAATAACACGTTCTAACTATGCATTACCATATAGTTTGTGGCTCACTTAACCTACTAAGATTAATATGCACGCACGAATGTGTTTATGATATGGACATTTGTCAATTTTACAGAATAACTAGATACACGCCTAGCTCTCACTGCTACGCTTCAAAATGCATTGAAGCAAACTTACTTTCTCACGAAGGCTTAACATCAGATTTGGAAATTTGTCCTTAACACCACCTCTGTTTATCCGATATCAGGAGGGAGCAAGTAATTCAAAATACTATTTCCATGTCAAGAGATAACACCTAATTCTACTTCCATCATTCTTCAGCGAGTTGGATACCTTTTTGACTGATCAGAATAGCTGAATTGTCTTATGATTTCAGATGCCGAATGAAAACATCAGAGCTAGTTAAGCAAACTGCAAGCATTTCGCATGCTGAAAGCTAAATATCGAAAGTTCTAAAATTTGGATGTATCCAGTGTGTCAATCTCTATTATGGAAAATCCCAGGCTTTAGCAGCTGAAAAGATAATGGTGTTTGAGCATTTTTCTTTTAAAAGTTTAAGACGCTTCCATTCATCAAAAGTAGTAGTTCTCGGCAAGGATCAACCAAATTCTTCAAAAGATGAAGAGATGACTGTTGTCTTTCTTATCCAGAAATCCCATGGACATAAGGACGCTAAAATAGAAAAGAACAATACATATACATCTTCATTAAAATTATGGAATTGCAACATAAGACTTGCTTAAAGCACACAGAACAAGAGAACACTCATTATCGTAAACAAGCAAAACAGATATAAGATCTTGATACCTCAATAAGGGCAGCAAATGAAGCAGCCATCATGGCAAAAGCATCTCCTGCATAGAAAATTGGACTTCCCCATTGGAAGGGATATGGAATCCTAAACCTGCATTTTGAAAATTATTAGCATGTAACTCCTCCTCCACATCTTTTTAAAAAACAAGAGAATTTTGCCAGAGTACATTGATTATGATAATAAAAGAAGCTTGGATAAGGACCAGAAACCCCAAAGAAGGAAAAGAGAAAGAAGATAAACCCTTCAGTGAAAAACATCTAAGAAGTTCGATCAGCATTCTACCATGTAGTGTTTTGAAGCTCGAAATTTAATTCACGAAAAAGACTTTGGAACTCACTTCATACAGACGTATTTTTGCTCTCAAACCAAGCAGAAAATAAACTCAAAATGGTGTCATCGTAAAAGTTATAAGATGTTGAACAATCTATCAACACAGCTTCTTACATTAGAAAATTAATTAGAGCACAAAGCAGCATAAGGAAAAGATTAGTGCATAGTTTGAAAATCAAATTGTAAAGAAATATTGGATATAAAATAACTATGTCAAAATCGTACTTCTCAGAAACATAAATCAATAAACTGGAATCCAATTCGAGATGAAAGTAATACCATGGAGAACTCCAAATAAGACCAGCACGATCAGTACGACAACTATATTGAGTCTCTGGAGGCCTATGTCTATATGCACCAGCTACAGTGAGAATATGTGCATAAATCCATACGATCACAATGGTAATCAACACCGCAAATCGATTAAAGATCCCGCTCCTTATTATGATTGGAAATGTTACATACTGCAAAATTACAAAATTCCCGTAAACATATGGATATCTAAGTTAAACAAAGTTGATAGTCAACCATCATAAGATTTGACTACCTGAGCGAAGAATAAAAAGATAACAAGTGCAGGAAGGCCAATCTCGATACATCTTGCAACCTACAAAATCAGGAAATAGTAGACAAATAGAATGATAAATATGAGGAAGAAATATAGTATCAATAATAAATCATAATATCACAGGAAAGAATAGTGCCTACTAACCCCGGGGAAGCCAACATAGAAGAGCCCAAGTCCTGCTAGAGTTACGATAGGCATAGCAGCAAGAGGGCTGAGATATCTGTTTCCATTTAAACCAACGTTAAACATTTGAAATGACTGATTTCACAGTGTTACTTGATTTTGTTTGCAATCACCGCTAAATACAGGGGAAAATAACTTCAAATATCTGCATCTATTTCTAAAAAGAAAATTACAGCACGTTCAACTATTTTCCGAAAAACTACCAAATAGCCTTAGAAAGTTCAGCGATTGGAAGCATGAACACATAAGCTAGAATAACATCAAAAGTTAAATCTTGTAGCACATAAAACTGCAACTAGAAATAGTTCCTCATGTGTGATTGGTCAAACTACATAACAGCTCCCATATAATTAGAAAGTGGATACTTGATGAAAATATGATTTCTTAAATAACTAATTACATGATAAATAATCAGAAAACTAACAAGTCAAACTTACCTTATAACAATTCTCCATATACCCAGAAATCCCACCAAAATCTGCAAGCTCGATCCAGCAATTAGAGCTCCTTGTATCGCCCTCATAGTATACTCAAATCTCTAACACAATCACCCGAAAAGTACAAAACAAACAAATAAGCTAATTGGTATGAAAAAAGACCCAACTTTTTCTTGACAAACACGATGAAGAAAAATCGAAGAAACCTCATAGGGGTCTATAATGTAGGCATATCTTTGGCTGAGAATAATCGAAACAGTGGGAAGTATATATGTAAATGATCCTCCGATCACAACAGGAAGCCGAGACCCAAAATAAGACTGTAAAAACGTATTGATTCCGGCCACAAATAACATAGTTTGTATAACTCTCGCCTTCTCTTCCTGCAAAATTATCAACAAAAAAAAAAGCTCTATCAAAATAGCAAAACGAAACAGAGAAATGAGAAATACCCATTTGATTAAAGGCCATGTATTGATCAAAGAAGCTCACAAGGCCACCGCCCATTTGAGGAACGAGGAGAAGTGGGACTATAACCACCATTCCCAGCATCACGAGATAGTGTTGAAAACCAAGAAACAAGGCCGCAGCTGCGACAAAAGGGAAAAAAAAAACAGAGGAATGAGATGAGAGAGAAAGAGAGAGCTTTAGAGAGAGAGAGAGAGGTGGATAGAGAGAGAGTACGGACACCAAGGAGGTGGGCTAGTGAGGCAGTAATCGATGCCAGGGAGCTGCTCTTTGATGGGATGAGGGGCAAAATCATCCACCTTTGCCATTGATTTTCCCCCCCAGTGTTTGATCTCTGTTTGTTTCTCTCACTAGAAACGGGTTGAGGGTTTTGAGAATGAGAGAGAGAGAGAGAGAGAGAGAGAGAGAGAGAGAGTGATGAAGAAGGGAAGAAGGGTGTGCGGGCAATTATATGGAGAGAGAAGAGAGGGAGGAGTGAGAAAAAAAAACGGTAGAATTTGCTAGTTTCGCTCCGCACATCTAACGTTTGTTTTTCCTTGGATTTTAAATGAGAAGCGCTAGAAGGACCGAGCAGCTGACTCTATTTTGTGACTCAAGGCAGGATATTTCGGGATTAAGTCGCTTTAATCTTGTTCATATTAGGAAATTGCTTCTCAATTTTGAAAATTTAAGTACAAAGTTCTGTTATTCTCTTGAGATTACTTTTTTCGTTTGTCTTTCTTTTTTCCTTCTTTGAAAAACTCTGGACCTTCCTTAGATACATTTCCAACAGTTGATTTTTCTAAGACTTGTTGCTTTTTTACCTTGTTTTTTTTTAAGAACATGTGTTCTTATAAATATTTTATAATAATGTATGACTTGTTTCGAGAAGAAAGACTATGATTAGTGACGGAGCTTGGAATTTCTAAAGAAATTCCCAAAAAAATCACAATTAGACACACAAACTTTTTTTTGCAATTGATTAATTATAATATTTAAACATCATTTTCAAACTTAAATTTTAAGTTAGACTATAATAATAACATTATTTTTGCTTCATTTATTAAAATTATTTCATGATATTTGCCTTATCAAATGCTATAAAATATATCTTCTTTCAATATAAGACACCTAGCCATCATTCCTATATCTATTTTTTATTGATTTTGAAGAACACTATTAATGATTTTCATTTCTATCCGTCCATATACCATGAATTTAGGCGCATATATCGAGACATTTCTTTCAGTAAATTATGGACAAAACTCTTATTTATTTAAATTACTTTTTTCAACTTGTGAAAAATTGGATGCATAGAAAATCAGATCTAAAACAAAAACATTTAGAAGAAAATTACCTACTTATGAATGAACTCATGCCAACATTCTTAAACTCATGTATTTCAAACAAAGCATGTTTGCTATATCCACTCCCAAACAGTAACTTTGGGAGTTGGATTGCTGAAAATGCCCTTTTAGACTTGGTCTGATTTGGTTTGGGAGAAAGGTAATTTAGTCCTCACACACCCCAAAATTAATGTTTGGAAGTGTGAATAGTTGGACCCCAAACAAAGGCGTAAAGAAACGGGGAAATATGGGTTCGAATAGGGAAACTACAGTAGCGTCATCATAGTGATAAATGCTCATTAAGATTCGTCAAGGGGTTATTTGTTTTGGTGCATTATATTTGTTTTGCATTGAAAAATAAGACCCATCAATTTTAAATTCTAGGTTATTATCAAATATATTAATTTGTAATTTATCATTTTTCATGCCTCGAATTTAAAATTGACACGTAAATATATGCATCAAATGTAATCCCCTAAATTTATGCTAATTTCACTGGAATTTGTGATTTTACTCACATATTCTCAATAAAATACATGTTCAACATAAGTAAAAATGTAAAATATATTAAAACCTTTAAAGTTTTATCTGTAGGCTTTTTTTATAGTCCGTCATATCTAATGATACATATTTTCAATTTTAAAGTCCAAATTATAAATTTGGATTTTTGAATCATGTTAATATTATCCTAGCTAGCTTACCTACAACATCACAAATTTGGATACTCTCATGCAAAATCTGAAATTTGGATTCTCAAATTAAGAATCCGTACATTATATGTGATGTGCACATGAACTACATATAAAAATAATAATAATAAATTATAAATATTTATTAAATAATAGACAATCTAATTGAAGAAGTTATCTCTACCACGTAGTTAGGGGGCTGTTTGGTTCGTTTCCCAGATATATGGAAATGCATTTCCATATACAAAAACACAAGTTTTAAGTTTTTCAAACTTTTCCAAGAAATAGATTGTTTCGCTTTGGTTCGTACAAAAAAATGGTGGGAAACCAATGTATTTATTTTTCTTGTGTTTGGTTTGCATGGAAAAAAAAAGAAAACGTTTGTTTATATGGCAAAAAGCTGACGTGGCTGCAGTTTTCATCGATTTCACAAGGTTGAGGAAGGAATTGGGGGAGAGAAAAAAAATCTGATGTGACGGCGATTTTCACCGAGTTTCCCTTCTTCAACCCTAGCGAACCAAAGATGGAAAAAAAAACCGACGGAAAGCTTATATCCTACGTGACCACGAAAAATCTGATGTGGAGGCAGTGTAAAACTTTTCCACCGAGTTAAAAAACGAACCGAAAGAATCCAAATCCAAAATAAATAACCAGGAAATCCTAACAACTAAAAGGATGCAAGGCAAAAGCTTTTAGGCCCCGTTTGGTACGCGGGAATGGGGTGGAATGGAATGACATTCCCACTTCTCATACCCTCATACCAAACAAAACTTGTTTTTAGATGTTGGAATGAACATTCTCATGGAATGGTCATTCTCACTTTTTGTGGGAATGGGCATTCCAAGTAAGAAGATAGGGAATGATCATTCCCATTCAAGGGGAGAATCAAATTAGTTAGGTTTTTTTCAATTATACCCCTATTAATAATAAGAATCAATTTAAAAATCATGGCTTTTGACTACGTATTCTCATTTTCTCTCAGCTACTAATTATATTCGAACAATAGGAATTTTTTGCGGGGTAGGGATTAAAACTAGTGGTACATATTTCAGTAGCATATTAAAACTAGTGGTACATATTTCATTAGCCTATTATATCACAATTGCTCAACATAGGAGCAACACAATTTAATATGAAAACAGATACAACTGAAACTATATATTATTTGTCGATTGAAATTCTTTCATGTCAATATTTTTTTTGGTCAATCAATTTTTTTGTTTATTCACCAATGTTTAAAGTCTGTTATTTTCACTAGCATATTATATTATTTTTGAACTTTTGCTATTGTTTTCCCACCATAGAGAACTATATGTACCCATTGCGTACATGTTTGATCGCGGTTCATGCATAACAATAAATCTAACTTTTGATTGAAAAATATTTAACCCAATATTTACGAAAAGAGGAAACTCTCGCTGAGAAATTGGCCAAAATATTAAAATTATCAAAACAATATCATGTCTAGACTATATATAGAGGTATAAGGGCATTATTATAACACATACCTAAATTAATATAACATATACAGAAATAGTGAGAATTATTTAAAAAATATAAAAAAACATACACCTGATCAATAACATGCGCATTAGTATAACATATACCTAGATTAATATAACATATGCATAAATAATTTTTTTTAGCTATTATCATTAATGTTTATTTTTATTTTATTAAAAATCTATGTTGTTATAAGGGCATTATTAGAAAACGAGAGTCCATTATCACTTGTGAACTGGTGATACTAAACATGGGAATGGGAATTAGATTTTCATTCTAGCTTCATTCTACAAACGCACCCAAACAAGAGAATGTGAATGACCATTCCATTCGCACATACATTCCATTCTATTTCTTCTTCCATTCCATTCTCACTTGACTTCATTCCCACGTACCAAACGAGGCGTATAGAATAAAGCTCCTACAAACTTAAGTAGATATTGCACTTGTCCACCAACTTTTTATCTCTTCATTATGCTTTGAGATTTGTATAACATGCTAGCATAAATCTCAATAAAACAATGAATTAAAAAATTGGTGGACAAAAGGCTCCTATCCACTTGAGTTTATAGAAGCTACGAATCTGTAATCACGAGAGAGGAGAACCAACCGCACACGAGCACAATTCGAACCAAATATGACAAATCAAACAAAACACAGAGATATATGTAGTTCAGCAATTTGCCTACGTCCACGGGGAGAGGATGAGGAGATTCCACTAAATCAAGGAGAGTACAAATGGTTGCAATCTCACAAAATCACTCACACTAACCCTAAACCAAATCTCTCAACTCGCTCATAAATTCTCCCTCTCAATATGCTCAGTACAATCTAAAATTTCTGTTAAGAAACCCTAAAAATCATGTTTTAATTTATATCAAAACACAAACCCAATGCGAACAGGAAACCAAACTCAGGCTCAGCCCGACTCGCGGTTGACCGTGGAGACATGTGCGATTGACCGGACAGAACAACAGAGACTGAAAAACATTACAGGGTTTGACCAGTTGATCGCCGCGCCAATCGCGGTCGACCGCGAAAAGTCTAGAGACTTTTCCAGCTTGCGTGCACGTTTACGATCGACCGCTGCGCCATTCGCAGTTGACCGCTGGAAGTCCAAACCTATTTTCTGCCAATTTTCCATGTATTGGCTTCACTACTTAATGGTGGTTGGAATGAGCTGAAAAATCAAGCATCATGGCTATAAATAGTCAATGGATGCAATGGTTCATGTGACAAACCCATATAGGGCATTTTGACAAACTTGTGCAAGTTGGGGGGACAAGATATGATAAAGGGTAAAAGCAAGATAAATAGTCAACTTGGATGGATAGGAACCTTCCTATGACAAGGATACTCATTAATTTCTCTCTCTCTCTCTCTCTCTCTCTCTATATATATATATATATATAGATTAATGGGTATCCTTGTCATAGGAGGGGATTTCCTCCTATGACGCCTCTAAAATCACATGATTGAGCAACATTATGGATGATCCGCTCCGTTGAACTTGATCTACATATTCTAAAACCCCAACACACCAAGTTTGGGGTGAACCCCAACACACCATATTAATTACCTACACACACCCACTATTTTCAAAACCACCATTCTTCATCTCCATCTATTATATATCCACATATCAAATTAGCTGCTGGAGTTTTCCCTCACAAACTACAACATTCTCCATCTCCTTTGTACTTAAATTGTATAACATTCATTGCGATGAGGACTCACATGGGTTCTTTGCCTACCTTGAGCATCCAAAAAAAAAAATAATATACTAAGCATTGTAGTTAGTTAATAATGAGATCCTATCATTATAAATAAACTAAATAAAGATTAATAATTCTTAAGAATGTACTATGTTACCCTATCTTCCCTTGCAAACTTGTTAGT